GCTTGTAAAACAGAGAATACATTATGGCACTTTTAGAAATACAAGCTTCTGGTTTTGTTGTTTCTCTTGAGAACATAAATGAAATTGTAATAGAATTTGACAATAGTATTTGTCATAAAAACACATGGCGTTATCTGGATAAAAAACAAAGAAGATATCCTTGTGGATTTGAAACGTGACTCCAGGTAAACCTATGAAAGGGAAAAGACAATTTCTGAATGAAGGACAGAAGGCTTTAGTGTATGAAAAAGATCTTATGCGTGAGCAAGTCTGACACTATCAAGCAGAGGTCATCAAATGCAACACCCTGTTGACTTCTCTACTACCGAAAACAGAGAATTGAGTTCAGAGGCAAGGATACAGAAGGTGAGGAGATGTACCCAAAGGCATTGGCTCTTCAAAATATATTCTGCCTTTCAGAATTTTGCAATTAGTTCTCCATTGGTAGAGGAGCAATAGGGTGCTAACCATACTTACCTCATCAACTTTCAGCAACTCCTTTTTGGAAGTTTCCTTCTCTGAAGAGGAAGCATAAACTTGGATAGAGAGCAAGCTCAGGCTAACAGGGGTGGCCCCCAGTCGAATTACCTAGAAACATCACGAGAGGGCATGTAAGCTGTAAGTCAAAACGAGAAGGCAATGTTTTTGAACACACCCCATAATGGGACATAAATATTTTCTGTATATGGTAATAGGTGATAAATTAAGATGATTGGAAGTCAGGAGAAAGGGAAGCCAGCAGTACATAACCTAATGCTCTTGGGTTCTCAAATGATAACACACAAATTATTCAGAAGGTATTTAGAAAGCTTTAAGGCTAAAGGAGACAGCAGCTATACGTGTTAAGCTCCTCAGTTTTCACCTCACAAAATGATCTTCTGTTTTCTCTTATTTGAAATACAATTACGACCAACTTTGCCGGTATGGATCCTAACAACGTTACGTTATTTAATTCATATTTTAAGCAATTCTATGAAAGTCCATAACGTCTCTATTTTCTGCAGTTAATACCAAAAGATTTAGCATCTTATTTCTAGTTGTTGCCTCCATCTAGATTTAAGGGAAGAAAATGAGACCTACAGTTGAAAGTGTCATCACATAATCACTGACTTCTAAGAATTTTAGGACTGTCTCCTACTTTTATATGTGAGACACGAATTACAGCACTGCTAGTACCATCACAGACACTTGACTGTGAATCTGAATGCCTCAGATTCAATCACACAACACAATCACCACGTAGAAGGTGAATACAATTCTTCCCATACTCAGGATCTACGTTAAATTCTATTTCTTAACAGAAGAGAATGCTTCAATCAAAAAAACAAAAATTGAGATGTGTGACTAATCAAGGACGCACCATTTTCCCACAAAGACTTATCCTTTTTAAACAGGAAATGCTCACCCCAAGAAGGCAGTTAAAACAGAGGACCTTTCAATGTCACATCTTCACGTTACTAAACGGATAAAGATATATCTTTGTGCAGAGTTACAATAGTCTGTGTTTTGTTTCTCCCCATTACAGCAGGAGGGAATCTAATGCCTTGTGGCCACCAACCTGGAGAGGTCTGACTCTGCCCACAGCATCCATTCCACCCAGAAAGTCCTGCTGCTCCCCCTTGCCCTAGCTTTGGGGGCCGGAGGGTTGCACTGCGAGGCAATTCACCTTGCTAATTTGGCAAAGATTAATCCTGCAGAAGAAGTGGTGAGCTCTTTGCGGGGTTCATAAATTTAACCCATTCACGAAACAGTCTAATGAGCACCAGAGGAAGGTGTGGTCGGGGAAGAGGGGATGCAGGAGCAGGCAGCAAGACCTCTTCCTTTCCAGTGATAGTAAGGATATTATATTGATCTAACTACTCATGAAATGGAAGTCCATGTTAAATCAATGCATCTTTCATGCTGTTGTAATGATAACCGACCTAGTAGGTCAGTTACCTAGGATTAGTCTGAAACTTTGCCTCTGCCCATCGTACAACTGCTGCAAAGTAGCTTAAAGATTATCCAGGCTGTTTATTGCATACAGATCAGTATTTGCAACTCAAATTTCATCCACTGCTTTGCAGATTGAATATTTGTTAAACATTAAACGAAGCCAAGAGACTCTCCAAACTCAAAACTAGAACATATAGTTGTCACACTTCCTGAAAACGTTTGCTCGTGTGCAAAGAAACGGCACATAAGAACTAGGCCATATGGTTGTTTTCCAGAAAGATGCAAGGGATCTGATGGACCAAAAGGGACAGAAAAACTTGCTTAAAACTGAAGTTTTTCCTTACTTGTATTTACAGACTCATTATTACAGCAATACAACGAAACACCACAATGACCAGATCAACTCAGTTTCACAGTTAACGAAAGACATGAGCAATCTTTAATAATGTTTGCTTAAACAAAGACTTTTCACATACTTCAATTAGCCAAAACAAAAACATGAATGCCACTAACCATTATTAACCGTAGGATACTTTTCCTCATTCTCTCTTTTATTTCACTGCAAAACTGTTCTGTCACTGAAAAGGCAAAAATCTGAAATGCATTTTCATTCTGAAAATATGTTTTCAGTAAAATATTACTTGCTGTGATTCTTCTAATGCTAAAAACAAAACATATGCCTAGAAAAGGTATCGAGATACTCATCTACTTCATTCACCTTCCTTTCCTCAAAGCAGCACCAAATTTTTTTAAACCACGCCTCCCAGTCATCTGAACTGCCATGCTGAGTTCAAGTATTTCCTGTGAGCCTAAGTTTGAAACAACTCTAATAAACTAATAGCTCTGCTACAACAACTATTACATCAGTGGCATATACTCCACTCAAAAGGTGTTAGCAGTGGGGAAGGCTTTTGAAATGAGCCTCTCAACTTCAGAGAGTCACTCAGAGACAATATCTGACTACGGCAAACATTTGTTATATGTATGCATACAGTTTTTACATCTTCAATTTAATGTTCTTACAAGCATCCTTCGTATAGAAGAAACCTACAAAAATCAACAGCAATAACATCTTTTGTAAAATAAAAGTATAATTAATTATTGATCACCTCCAATCAGGAAAAATAAGTCGAGTCTACCGGGTCAAACAGGTATGTTTTTTCTTTCTGTTTGCATAATTTGCTAATAAGGTAAATGGTGTTAAACGTCACCAACAAAAGTAGTAAATCCAAATGCTTTAAATATTTGAGTGTTTTATGTGAATATGCACATGCATCTCAAGCACACAAACAGTATAACACAAGAATGGCATCCCCTTGACTTCCCAAAGAGATGTCAGTGATCACAGGACTATTCAAAAAGAAAACTTTAATCATTCATTCTATCATAATACTGAAGTGCAGACATTTTCCAAGGGTTCTGTATTTACATCTTAAAGAACAAAATGAAATTAACAACTGAAAGTGCAAGATGAATCTCTCCTTAAGCACGCTGTTCACGTGCAGTCTATAGGACACATATAATCAGTACTGAAGTGCTGTATACACACAATAAAACACTTATTCTGTAGTATGAAAGATTAACTGTTCTATTTTCCATTTCCATACTTCACTTTAGGATCTCATTTCTTAATACCGTACTAGGAATATTACTAAACCAATTGTTTTAGTAAAACATTTTGATGGAGCTGTGCCTTCAACTTGCTTCAGTCTTATATCTATTCAATTGATAACAAAAAGGATCACATACAATCTCTCTAGGCAATGCTCTGTACTTTCATTAATTAAAAAAAAAAAAGTTTATTCCTTTTTCTAACTGAAGAGTTTATCATTATCTATAGGCATTAGATCACTCACCTGCAAACTATACCAAAACTGGTGGGAAAAAGCCTATCATATCTTTCATTCTTTTGCTTCACTGTCTTTCTCAAAAGCTTTTAACTCCTAATTAAAAAAACCTACGGGGAAAATCTGTTATTAGTTCCCAATACAAATAGGAAAACAGAGTGAACGATTAAGTGGAACTTTGGTTGTTTTTTTCTCATGTCTGTTTTCTTAGTTCACTTGCTACTGTGATCGTCAGTCTGTCAAAACTGGGGTAGAGGAAGAGTAAAAGGAAGGAAATCCTAATTATATTTTTGTGAAGGATAATATTTGCCCTAACATAAAAAGCAGCTGCATATTCTCTTGCCTTCTTCCTCCTATCTCCCAATGCTAACAAACAAACAAACCCCACTCTTGGGCACTACTTTTACCTGAAGCACAAACATCAAGACCAAGAAGCCACCTTCCCTATTCTTAGCAGCAGCAATCAGGCTAGCCTTAAGCACTGGAGTATCCCTAATGACAATGGTTATAAAAAGAGCAGTAATATTATGGCAGTACAAAAAAACCCTACCATAGATTTCAGATCTGTAACCAAGCTTAATGCAAACTGACAAGTAGTGCACCTAAAAAAAGAAAAGAAAGCAAGCTGTGAGCTTAATTTCTAATTACTGGACTGTAACGTAGCTCAAAGTTACAAGATCTGGAATCAGAAAAAAAATGTTTTGTTTCTATGCTTTTCAATGTTCTTTATAAAACAGAGTTCCTTCTTAAAAATGTACCACTCTTCCATTGAAAAACATGAACAGTGTCTAACAGGTTTGATGTGCCTACTAAAATTTGGTATTGGAACCAGGGCCCCAGCACACATATAACCCCTTTAACGTAGAATTCAGTGTCACTTATGGGACTCTAAATAATTCTGGCAGCAAATGCTTACATAAGGATCCTTACATAACTTGCTATTGTTGCAAGTCTGGGCTCTTAACCTCAGAGGCAAAGACCTTTGACCCCAGATCCCGGAAATCTATTCCTTTTCACAGACTTTGCTGACAACCCACATAAAAATTAAAAAACTTCTAAGATAGCGAATTTCACAGCTATGTACATGAATCCAAAGCCTGTAAGAAAGGCTGCTTTCTTACAATTTCTTACAATTCCATGCTGCTGTGTCTAATAAAGGCCTAATTTAAATAACAGAAGGGGTCCCATCCGTTTTTTTTTTTTTTTTTTTTTTGCAACATGGATAGAATATTTGACCTCACTCTAAAACACCTGTGAGAGATTAGGTGACTGCAACAAATATAAAACTCGTAGCTTGCCAGAGGTAAGGAAAACGCTCCGCAAAATAATCTGGGCATAGCTGTCCCTGGATAATCCCGATTTAAGAAGACGTTTAGCTCTAAGTCGAAAAAAACTTAGCTGGTAACAACGTGAGAGTGCTCAGCACCGAGTCTGTGCGACCGACCAGCACCACGTCCCTTTAACGCAGAAAGCGAGGGGCTGACAGAGAAT